CCGGCCAAAAGGTAGATTTGATAAACTATTTATGAAACTACATCTATTCTGAATTTATCTGTTACAAATATACAAATGTAAGGCACGATATAAAAACGAATAAAACAAGAACATGTAAAAAGTAACATTAATAAAATGTCCATTAACGATGCATTTAGAATAAATTGTCTCGTAGTTAAGTGAAAAATATATACTTTTCCGTTTCAGGTTTCATGACTATCATATTTATCCCTTAACCGTAAACTGAAGCATCGGATGTTTTTATTCCCGTCAAATCATGTAGATACACGCAATATGAATGGAATATATAACACTTCATTTGTGCTAATAATAATCAGAATTCATGCTTCATCGGTAACGTCGGGTATAGACGCTAAAATGGTAAAGGGGCTTCTGACGCCCTCGAAGCATGGGACAGAAAATTACATTGCATGTTAAGTCTATTCATATATCTCGTCTGTGCCTCTACGTTAGGTGACCGATGAATCTGCGGTGGGTAGTGAGTCACTACTAGTGACACTAAAATGGAAATGGAGTCACGTCGCCCCAGAAAAGTGGGCCGTAAAAATACATCGGATGAAACTGCTACTCCTATTCCTCGTCTGAGCACACATACTCGGGGACAACGAATTCCCGGACGTGAGCACAAGCACTCCCATTTCCTCTTTGGCACTAGAAAAGCAACTATATTGTAGGAAAAAATTGGCAAGACTGAAGTATCCCCACGTGGTTTGAAATATGTTGGGTTGACAGATTACCTGTTGTTTAGTGTTTTGTGTATTTTCTGTTTATAAAAATAACGGCCTTTTACATACATAAGAATAATGGTATGTACCTCTAGAACTACCTTGATTGTACAGTATCTCATAATAAAAAATTTCAGTTTCAATGGGTTCACGTAAATTCTGTTTTGTAGGTTATATTATCTAGATTCTAGATGGTAACGTTACTTAATTTTGATCTAACATTAAATATATTCATTTTATGTTAATTTGTTTCGTACAGGGGAAGAATAAGAAGACTCGAAAAGTTGTTATGCAAAAATTTGCACAAATGAAAAAAATGATAAGTCTAAGCGATTCAAGGATGTAAGTGGATTTCTAATTAGAATAAGTCTGTTACTTAAAATAAGCACATGTAAACCGGTTACAAAATATTAATTTAATATTTACAGAAAGCCAGAAAAACGAGCACCATCAAAGAAAGTTAAAAAAGAGGACCCGACTAAGTTAAAAATAATAGAGGCGTAAGTATGACAGAGTGCCTGTTAATGTTTTAGTATTAGTTAGAAAGTGATTAATCTGTATTATTATAGGCCCCAGCAATCCTCTGCATTATTCTTCCAGTACAATACACAATTGGGTCCTCCCTATCACATCTTGATAGACACAAACTTTATTAATTTTTCAATCAAAAACAAACTAGACGTCATAGAAAGTATGATGGAATGTCTTTATGCAAAATGTATTCCATATATAACAGATTGTGTGATGGGTGAATTGGAGAAGCTTGGACAGAAGTATAAAATAGCATTGAAGATCATACGGGACCCCAGATTCGAAAGGTTGAACTGCATACACAAAGGCACTTATGCGGATGACTGTCTTGTTAACAGAGTCACTCAAGTAAATATCTCTACAATTAAAAAATCTATCTATTCACGAATGCTATCTTGTATGTAACACTGTTCCAATATTTCAGCACAAGTGTTACATTGTGGCGACAAACGACAAAGACTTGAAACGGCGGATACGAAAAATTCCTGGTGTACCTATAATGTACGTCTCTCAGCACCGATACACCATAGAGAGAATGCCGGACGCATACGGAGCGCCCAAAAAATAACCTGTTAGCTTTGTAATTTCTTATTGTATAAGAGCGTCCAATAAAATGTATATTTCATTAACGAACACGGTCGAAAAAAATTCTCCAAAGAAAAATTCTATGGATTCACTTATCGTGGAGACCTTATCACGCGTTTTACGATGTCCTGCGTTCACCGCACGGAGAACGGGCGTTTCCGGTCCCGAGTTTACAAGAAACTTTTGTTCAACCGAAACTCCGGCCACCCTGCACTTTATCGACTTTCGTGGTTGCAGACGATCCCGGGAGGGGGCATGGGATGTTACGAGATAGTTTCTACCGAGAACGATTCAGAGGCGCGGATCGATACGTCTTCCGTATAGGCTCAGCAGCCGGAGATAAACAGGGGGAACGTGTTACAGTTATTGTTCGGTGAAACAATGAAGCTGTTTCGTGTAACGCCCACGTGGCGGCCGGATACACCCGATAGAATTTTACTGTTTCACGGCCGATGCTGGCCCCTATATGGCCGCCACCTCGAAATAAGGTTAGACAAGTGGGCGCAAAAGACCGTTTCGCGTGAGGAACGATCGCGTCGCGAATTAAATCACGGGGCAGCGGCTCACCGCAAAATAAGTCGTCAAGAAGTTTCGACGGAGCGGTTCTTCCCGTTTCCTGGCGCAAATACGAGCTGTGGATAAACGACGCGTTGGCGATCGTTACGCTTACCTACGCGGAAAACGATCAGATTTTCGGTCGAAACGCGCCTTAGCTCGACGAGGCTCGCGATACCGAGAGGCCAGATAAGATTTATGAATCGCGATCAACTGGGACACGCGTGTTACATACGTTGATCAGCCAATTCGTTCCCCTCGTGTATACGATTAATTACCATTGTAAATTTGCCTACTGCAGGAGCGTTTACGTATGAGTTGTCTGCCTAGGTTTATATCAGTCGAAACGCTTGAACGACGCCGCTAGAACAACAAGTGGTCGAAATCTATAACATTGTTCACTCGAATAGTCTTCAGGTGCAAGCTCAGTCGGTTAAAGACACGAACTGGACAGATCGGTGGCAGAACGTGATTTTGCTGGAAGAAACAAATTATGATGGAAGTGAACAAGTACTTAACCGACACAAAGTACAATTTAGCCAGATCGGATGGATATACACGTGTTTACAATCTGCAGAAGAAAGAACGAATTCTTTCCTCCCTTCGTCGTTCGTTGATTCCGTCACGATATAGAGTAGTCATGGAAGGGAATAAGGAAAGATTGAACCAACATAGTTTTATGGCGATGACGTCAGGTATAGTCGATCTACTTGTACAGTTCCAGGATCAAAAGAGATTCTGTAACAAATGTGAATGAAAGGGAGTTTTCGAGGTAAATGGAACGTTCATGTAAACCAGTTTAATACACATGTACTCCGAACCGACGTTAACGACACGGTTAGTGGTTTACCACTGGAAGACGCGTTGCCCGACTTTTCACGGCCGTGACTACTTGCGATCTCGCTGCGTTCACTTTCGTCCGCGTAATTAATTGCCCTGAACGTCGCGCAACGATTAGCGAAATCGATCGATTGCCGTTACGATCGCGCCACGCGATACGGAACAATACGGGATATAAATTCTATTCACCGGCGTGTCGTACCGGTTCGGGATAAATGCCGGGGGATCTCTCGTCGTGTGTTTCGGGCCCCGGCAACCTTTCTAATAAACGTGGGGGACCAACAAATGGCGCGTGCACGCGCGTTCCTGTACCGCCTGAACGTCGAATATTAATCACACTCATCTACCGGCCTAGCGCTCTCTCGCGCGCGCGCATCCTGCCGCACCCTCACCACGCGACAAATACTTCGAATTAACCCCGCGCCAACCAGGAAGCGACGCCGTCCGAACGAGGATTGAACAACGAGAAATATGATTTCCCGTAATTGTGTACGACCAGACAACGGAGAAGTTTCGTTCCGAAGATCTTTTTCATTCGAAACATTTTAAAAATTATTTACTAATCTGTAAACTATTAACTAACTTTAACTAACCTTTAAATATATTAACAAAAAGCAAAGAAGCGTCATCAGTAGACTGCGGATTTTTATGCAGGGGAATTTATACAGGGAAGAGCAAATGTTAGGAATTTCTATTTTTTATTAAGTATTATATTAGATTCGGAATAAACTAGAAAACCGATTGGATCTGATGAAAGTTGTGTATTTTACTGTATTCTCCAGACCCCAATAGGCTATAAATGCATAAAATCCGCAGTCTAGTGATCAGCCTAGTAACGTTTCACTGAAAGAAACATCGAAACGGTGTTTACTCTGTGTCCGTCACCGTTCGTGTGTTATCAACGTTCCGTAAATTTCACTTTCGTGTTCGGTCACCGTGTAAAATCGAACTTCCCGACTCTCTCCGTGAAATTCCATTCCGAGGGTATGGGGTACGCATTCCCCCGCCTAGATAACGACTTCTCAAACATTTTCAGCCGCTGGATGGTATCCGTACGCTCCCTTATCTGACGGCCGGGTGTCGTTCGATCCTTTTGGTCGTCTCTCCTACGGTGGTGGAAACAGGAAGAACGGTCAATTACGCTACGGGACAACCTTCACAGCCTCGAGATTGACTCGTGGAATGGATTTCCTTCTTTCTCCTTGTGGTTCGGTTCAGAGCGTTTATTGGGCTGCTTCTGTTCTTGGCCTGGTCTGTCTCTCTCTCTCTCACGATCCATTAGGGGATCGGTGGGCGGCCAGGTGTTTTCGACCGAGAGGAACTTCTGGTGTTCTTATCTCCATCGAACTGGAACAACGAAACCATTGGATCGGTCAGAAAAAACAAATGGATATCTGTGTGTCGAAGTATTGATCGGGGACCACGCAATTTCTTAGGCGCACGAGAATCGACGATTACGAAGGAAAACTGTGGCTTGAAGTGGTATTCTTCCGATAAGCGAACCGGAATGGAACTTCTCTAATGTCGTGGTTCGTAGCATGACCTGATGGTCTCGGCGATGGGGCCAAGTTTATGAATAGACTGCGTACGTTTATAGCATTTTCGTATTTTGCAAATTACAATGAAGATTTTAATACGATTTAAGCCTTTAATGCATAGTGTTGCCATTTAGCAACTATGCTACCAAAGTGTATAAAGTATCGATACATGCGAATAGATGAAGTGTCTTACCACAGATAGACAGGTCCAAGAAAAATTGCAACATCAAACTGTACATTGGCCTACAATTCGGGATTCAAGAATGAGGTGTGAATTAGTCATAAGCAAATAGTATAAACATTACTTCCCACCGAGTACTTAATCCGCGTTCACATACCTTCGAAGCAACAATCAAGTGTAAAAATATTTACGCTATTCCTATTTATGTATCCTGGTTATCTTTAGTTCGATCATTCTTTTCTTATCAATTTTTCTCAACTTTGACGTAAAATTGGCAATTTGATAAGTATTTTGGTCAAATAAACGCGACCGTAACAAATTTGTAAGTCACTGTATGCGTTTACTGTGGTATACAAATGCAGTTAACAGAGTAAGTTCATCGAATCGTTCGAGTACCATCAATATGTATCAGTCCCATCGCTAAATATAGCCTCAAAGACGACAACTCAAAAAATTCTACTCGTCCGATTTCCGTGTTTCCTGGTACTCGTAAAATACTCCCGTGAACGAACTCATATTCCAACGAGCACTTATCAAACGCTCGATTTCCATCGTTATCCCGGGTATACCCCCCCGTCGTGATCGCGGGTACCCAGTAAACTAGATTAAAGGTAAAACCACCGAGCAGAATCTAGTCGGTTGCGCGGTGGCCACGGCAACCACGTTCTAGGAGTACCGCGGGGGAGGAGGGGGGGGCGGAAAGTCGAAGGAGCGTTCGAAGCGTTCGATCGTGGTAACGGATTAGTTATAAAAGCGGCTACGAGGCCCTATACGCGGATATATATCTACGGCCACATCGTGGCATCTCCTGGACCCACTCTGCGTCGTTCCTCCCCGCCTCTGGTCGCCTCTACTCTTCCAAAGGCTTTCTCGTCCCACACCCCGGTGTCATCCCACCTCTCTCGTCCCTTTTCCGATATATATGTATGTATATATACCTCCCTTCCTCCTCCACGCATTATTCATCTCAAGTCAATTCGTCCTTCTTCCTCCACGTGCTTCTAAACGCTTGGACCTCTTACTCTCTCCCTCTCACTCGTATATGCACGTGCTCGATCCTTCTTCTCCCTATTTCGCGGGCGTCTCTGTTGCGCGCGCGAGCACAGAGAGGGCCCCGTGAACGCTCCTCTGCCACGGCAAGCGGTGGCGGCGGCGGCCATCTTGCATACCTGAGCCTCCGCATTGCTCGTTCCTCGAGGGCAAAAGGGAGAATATCTCAGCGCGAGACGACGACGACGACGCCGGGATGCGCGAGGGATAGAGTCCAAGGTGGGAGGATAACGGCTGCGGGACGGGCGCGGGGGAACGGGAGGAATGAGCGTGGAAGGGAGGGGGTGGCGCGACTGGGACCGATAGGGAGAGGGGAGCCGGCCGGGGCCAGCGTGGCCCGAGGCAGAGAGAGAGGGAGAGAGCGCGCGAAATATCGTTCGGGATCGGTGCGCATGAGACGGAACTAGAGACTGCCGGAACGAACAGCGGGGGTAGGAAGGGGAGCCCGTGGTACCGTAAGAGAAACGAAGAAGAGAGATACATCACTGGGGCTTGAGAAAAAGAGGGCCCCGCGAATGCTTCGCTAGAAGGAGACGGCTGACTGCGTACCGGTGGATTGGAAAGAGATAGCGCGCGACTGGACGAGAAACAGAGGCGAAGAGGGGAGAGAGAAGGATGTAGAATCAACTGAGGAGTGGGAGGGGGGCTGGAGGTAAGAGATAGAAAGACTACCGAACGAGACGAGGACGGACCGCGCGCAATAAGGCCCGGTAGAGAAAGGGACAGAGATGGTTTGGCTGAAGAGGAGGAGGGTACGCGAATGCTTCGCTGAACGAAGACGAACGTAAAGTATCGATCGGTGGTTGGAAAGAGCCCGCTGTATCGGAAAAGGGATACGCGAGAGAGAGAGAGAGAGAGAGAGGTACCGGGCCCAGAAGTGGTTCTTCTAAGTGCCCGTTGAAGAGAAAGAGATAGACTAGTCGATCCTCGAGAAAGGGAAAAGCGAAACGAGGAAGGATGAAGGCTAGAAAAAAGTAGAAAGAGAGAGAAAATTGCGGTGCGAGCGAGGGGGGGGGGGCGTACACAGGGTGGCCGGAGGCGAGAGGGGAGGGAAAATATCGATAAAGGGTAGCAAACGTAGAGAGAGAGGTGGATAAGGAAACCGACGAGGATAGCGTAGGCGAAACGAAGGAAGAACGCGAACGGAAGGTTTCTTTCGTAGAAAGAGAAAAAGCGATATCGATGGAAGGTCCCCGGAGCGGGGGCAGAAACGGTGGGGCGGAGAAGGAGGAGGACAGCGAGCGCAGCGAGGTGGGGGCAGAGAGGAATGAGGCGAGAGCGAGAGAAACGGAAGCATACGGCGGGCCCAATGAATCGGAGAGGGACACAGTACGTCCCGGCCCGAAGAATGCTTCTCCCCGGCAGCGGGCAAGGTTCTGGGACCGTCTCGGTTCAGTCGAGTCAGGTCAGTCCTCGAGAAGGTGATATTCTTCGTGGTAACGTTCACGGGGCCTTACGTGTCGTCGTCGCGATCACGGCCCACGTTACAACCACCTTCTCGATCTGTTTTTTTTTTCACGAACGTTTCATACTGTGCCTGTCTCTTTCACGAGTTTTCCGCGTTAACATCTGTAATTATATTCGTGTGAAACATCCACCGTTTTATCCGTCGACCTGAAAACGGTGGAAACAGGCCCATCGAGAAAGAAATAAAAAAAAAAGGGGGGGACACAACCGAGACGACATCGATGCGCGCGAGTGTAAGATTCGATCGTGGTGAACTCTCTACGATTCTCCTCGGGGGGGGGACACATCGTCACTGGTGGCTGGGTCCGTTGTTCGATGGATCCCCGATGATCTAGCGAGCCGATCGGAACGCACCGTAAACGCTCGAACGTGACCCTCGCGCGCGCGCTCTCGCTCCCTCTCTTCACCTCGACCCCGTGTGACTCCGGGCGAACCACTGTTAAACAAGAAAAAAAAACGAGAGAAGAAAAACGTCGTCATTGTCGTCGGTGTTAATCCGTTCGGGTTCGCATAAACGTGCTGGTTCGTTTTTTGTGCGCGATAGGCCGTGTCGTGGCGTGTCAGTGGTGTGCTGCTTCAAAGGACGGATTCTCCTCATCGATTCGTTCTCATCGAGAAAGAACGACGGTCGAGCGGGAACGCAACGTGGAAACCGTTTACAGTGTCTGTACAACGTGCCGGACCTTGGACCAGTCAGGTCGTGGAGAAAATTCTGTCTGACCGGCAGGCTTCGAAAAATTATATCGAAAGTGTCCCCATCACGTTGAGATCCTGTCGCCGGGTGACACACGGAACGTGGGACAAGGCGACAACACCATCCGCGAGGGTTGTAGCGGCTGAAACGCGACTGCATGGTCGCGCGCGCCAAAATCTCCTCTGGAATTCCGTTGATCCTGCGATCTCTACGTTTCGCGATCTCTCGGCCGTTGTGGAAAAGTTTTCGGTGGGATCCAGAGAGGCGAGCATCAGCATCTTGCGGCAGACGCGATTCGCGAGGCGCGGCTCGACGCGGGTCACTGCCCCCTCTTCGGTCGGATCGAGTGGTGCTGCTGCTGCTGCTGCCCCGTGTACTCGACTTCTCTTCTTGCTGGGGCGAGGAACCAAAAACGAGGGAATAAAACGGAAGAAAAAAAAAAAAGAAACCACGAGACGCCCCCCCCACACACACATACACACGTACGCACACGTTTGCTCGAAGATCGGGGCTTAATCCGATTTCGAGTCGAGTGGTGTCCATCCATATTGAAAAGGGAACACACAGAGATATATAGAGAGAGAAAGACAGAGAAACCATGGAATCCACGACGTGTTCGTGCGACCGGTTCGAAGGTTGATCCTCCGATCCGCACGAGTAGTACCATGCACCCTGTGCACCAGTGGTCACGTGAACGCAGAGAGCGAAGAGAATGAAATTACCGGGAACAACGATGAGGAAGAAGAACGAGAGGTAGTGTGCGTGTGTGTGTGTGTGTGTGTGTGTGTGCGTTCGCCCGCTCGCTCGCGCGCGCGCGCGTGTGTGAGTGCGTGCGTATATGTGCGTGTGTCCGGTGTCACAAAGAGGGGCGGCCGTCGCCGACGTGGTGTCAACGTTTATGTCGTCCGACCGCGCGGGGAATTTGGCTAAGGAAGGTGGCCCGTCCGAGGTACAGAAGAGATGATCGTAAGGCGATCGATGGTCCTAGCCCTGGTCCTTGGACTGTTGTCGGTGAACCAAAATGCCGGCCAGGACAGCCAAGGCAAGGATACAGACCAGGGACCCGATTATTTCACGCGGGGACTAACGCCGCAACGGGTGATGCGACTGGTACCGCGACGATCGCCGATGTTGCCGCAGGACAGCGCCACGATGGGCTTGGCGATGCAAAGCAGAGCGGTGGACACGAGGGTACAGCTGGAGGTCAGGGAGGGCGAGCCGAAGGGCACTTTGGTCGGTGTGATACCGGTGAAACCGGGATTCACGTATAGATTCAACGAACCGCCGCAGGAGTTCGTTTTGGACCCGGAAACAGGAAAGATCCGCACAGCGAAGATACTGGACCGTGAGGCGTTGAGCAGCGACAGGTTCGATCTGGTCGTGTTGTCCAGCCAGCCGACCTACCCGATCGAGGTGAGGATTCTCGTGTTGGATATCAACGACAACGACCCGGAGTTCCCGGAGTCGAGCATCGCGGTCAGCTTCTCCGAATCGGCGGTGGTCGGCACGAAGCTATTGCTGGACGCGGCCACGGATCGAGACACACCCGAGAACGGTGTGGCTGACGACTACTTCATCGTGGACGGGAATACCGATGGGAAGTTCCGTCTAGAGGTCACCGGCAATCCCACGGGTGAGACGTCTTATCTACACCTGGAGACTACTGGTAAATTGGATCGGGAACAGGTCGAGTACTATTCGTTGAATGTTTGCGCGAGGGACAGAGGCAGACCTCCCAGGCTAGGATATCTATTGGTGAACGTCACCGTGCTGGACGTGAACGACAATCCCCCGATATTCCAGCAAAGCGATTACGTGATCGCCCTGAACGAAAGCGCCCCAGTAGGCACCAAAGTGTTAACGGTCCACGCTACCGATCGCGACTCCGAGGACAATTCCAAGCTGACGTACTATCTTCCAGACACGGAACGTCAGTTCACCGTGGACCCAGAGACCGGCACGATCACCACCGTCGAGCCGTTGGATTGCCCGCAGCAGAGCTGCACGATCGCCGCACGTCCCGGCGGCGGTTGCCCGAAGAGCTGCGTGATAACGGTGTTCGCCCGCGATCACGGATCCCCGCGGCAGGACGGTCGTACCTACGTAACGGTGAATCTATTGGACGCGAACGATCACGATCCGGAGATCGAGTTCAGTTATTTCCCGTCGACGCCCGGTTACGCGACCGTCGACGAGAACGCAGCAAGGGACTCGATCGTCGCGGCGGTCGCGGTGATCGACAACGACGAGGGCTTAAACGGCGAGACCACCGTCGAGATACGAGCTGGAAATGAACTGGGACATTTCCGTTTGGACAACACGCAGAGCTTCGATATCGTTCGGGTGAACGGACGTCTGGACCGTGAGGAGATACCGAAATACAATTTAACGGTGGTCGCGACCGATAAAGGTACGCCGCCGCGATCCGCGACCGCCTATCTGGTGATCCACGTGAACGATGTGAACGACCACGAACCGGTCTTCCAGCAGAGCGAATACTCCGCGGTGCTGTCGGAACTTTCGCCCACCGGCAGCTTCGTAGCGAGTATCTCGGCGACGGACGCGGATTCCGGTCTGAACGCAAGGATTTATTACGATTTCGATTCGGGAAACGAGCAAGGCTGGTTCGCGATCGATCAGGACACCGGTTTGGTCACCACAGTGGCCACGCTGGATCGTGAAGTACAGGGCAGCATAGAGCTGCACGTGTCCGCCAGGGACGGTGGACCGAATCCGAAGTACGCGTCCACGCATCTAAAGGTGACGATTCTGGACGAGAACGACGAAGCGCCGAGATTCTCGCAGAGCGTGGTGGAGGTCACATTGTCGGAGAACACACCACCGCAGAGTCTGGTGGCCACGTTGACTGCGGTAGATAACGATCAGGGGACGAACGGCAGTGTTGCGTACAGTTTCCATTCGAGTGTCTCCAGGGACTATCCGAAAACGTTCGCCCTAGACGGACTCACCGGCCAGTTGACCACAAAAATCGTCCTGGATCGCGAAACCACCGCCGAGTACAGGATTCTGGTGATCGCGAGGGATCAAGGTACACCGCCGCAATCGTCCACCGCGACGGTGGTATTGACGTTGGAGGATGTGAACGACAATTCACCGGTTTTTTATCCGTGGAGGTACTTGTTGCCCGTACCGGAGGACGCCCCGCCGGGCACCTCGGTGGGCAAGGTGACGGCGACCGATGCCGATGCCAGAGAGAACGCCCAGGTGAGATACTCCCTGGAATCCGGTGGCGAGGGACTTTTTGCGGTCGACGAACGTACCGGGGAGATCGGTCTACAGGGTTCCCTTAGGGCTGCTCACAAGACCCTGTACGAGCTGAAGATCTTCGCTAAGGACACGGGGGAGAAAACAGCCACTAGGAACGCTCTGGTAGAGGTTATTCGGGAGGAGGATCTGGAACTGTTGGAATTCGACACCTACAACGGCTACGAGTTTCGTATACCCGAGGACAGAGGCGAGTGTGGTTCTATGCCCAGTGTCTATGGTAGAGAGCTAGGCACCGTCCAGGTGACACAATACGGGGCCACGAAAGTCTCCTACGCGATCGTGTACGGTGATCCAAAGGGTAACTTCAAGATCGACGAGACCACCGGCACGATCAGCACGTCGGGCTGTTTGGATCGAGAACAAGTCGCCTACTACAGTCTCCAGTTGTCGGCGAGAGCTGGCTTAGCTTACGGGCAAACATCCGTGAACATCACCGTTCTGGACGTGAACGACAACCCGCCGAGATTCCCCAAAGGCGAGATAGGGGATGAGGTATATCTGAAGGAGAACGCGGCGGTTGGCCAGGAGGTGTGTCTGGCCCGCGCTAGGGATCGAGACGCGGGCGCTAACGCGAGGATCATCTATTCCCTGACCCACAATCCCGGCGGACAGTTCCGGGTCGCCGAGAATTCCGGGATCATCTACCTGGACAAACCGATCAGAGCCGCGCCAGGCACCGTATTGCATCTCGAGGTGACCGCGACCGATTCCGGTAACCAACCGCTGTCAGCGCAGCATCAGGTCCGGGTCACCGTCGAGGATGTGAACGATCACACGCCTGTCTTCAAGCTGACCAGCTACGAGACGTCTCTGCCGGAATCCACTCCCGTCAACGATCGATTCTTCTCTCTAACTGCCACCGATGTCGATCTCGGTGCGAACGGCCGGGTTCTGTACAGCGTCACCGATGGTAACACAGAGAGCCGTTTCGGGATCTTTCCTGACGGGCAACTGTACGTGAAGAACGTGCTCGATCGCGAGCAACAGGATTATTACGCGTTGGAGGTGACGGCTACCGATCAGGGCAGCCCCTCCAGAAGCTCGATGGTCCCAGTTGTGGTTCACATCGTCGATGAGAACGACAACGCGCCAGAGTTCACCAATTCCAGTTTCATCTTCCATTTACGCGAGAACGAGCCCCCAGATACGTTCGTAGGGAAACTATTGGCCACCGATCGTGACGTAGGTCGTAATGCTGATCTGATGTTCTCGTTGCCCGCCAGCCAACAAGACTTCACCGTGGATCCTAGGAACGGTTTCATCAAGTCCCTAAGGGTGTTCGATAGAGAGTTACTGATGACCAATACAGGCAGTAGTTATATCACTTTGGAGGCGACCGTCACCGACAACGGTGTCAATCGTCTTCGCGATCGAGTCAAGGTCGTCATCTACATCACCGACGTGAACGACAACATACCGCAGTTCCAGAGACTGCCGTACAGGGTGCAAGTGAACGAGGGCGCAGCTATTGGGACGCAATTGTTGCGGGTCTATACTACGGACGCGGATGAAGGCCTAAACGGTGATGTATTTTACTCGCTGGAGGACGGGAACCAACACGAACGGTTCACCATCGACGAGGCGACTGGACAGATTTCATTGACGAAGGAACTCGATCGGGAAACCTCGGACGAGTACGTGCTGACCGTAGTGGCGCACGACGCTGGGCTAGAGACTCGTCTCTCCTCGAGCACCACCGTTCACGTGGAGGTGCTCGACGAGAACGACAATCAACCGCTGTTCGTCGACAACGAATCGAGGATCTCCGTTTTGGAGACCACGCCGACGAACACGGAGCTCCTTAAATTCAAAGCTACCGATAACGATCTGGGACCGAACAGCGAACTAGCGTTTGGGATATCAGCTGGGAACCGAAGGGACACATTCTACATCGATCCCCTGACGGGCACGTTATACTTGCGAAAACCGTTGGACTATGAAGAGCTCGAGAGGTACACGTTGAACGTGACCTGCAGCGACGGTGGTCATCCTAGGCTGAGCTCCGTGACCACGTTGATCGTCGAGGTGATCGACGCTAACGACAATCCGCCTGTGTTCCCGAACACAGCGATCGCCAGGCAAATTCGGGAGGGTATACACGTCCATACGCCTATTGTCACCATCACCGCGGAGGATCCCGATTCGAACGAGAACGGTGTAGTAACGTATTCGATCGCCAGTCAGGATCCCGAGGATCAGATCCGTAGATTCGGTATAAATCCATCAACAGGCGTGATACACACATTGTTGCCGATCGATCGTGAAGAAGTGGACACTTACAAGCTGGTGGTGGTTGCCACGGACAGTGCTCAACCCCCAAGCGCCAGATTATCCGCGGAGAAGCTGGTGATCGTGATCGTCGAGGACATAAACGACAACGCGCCGATGTTCGTCAGCATGTCGGCGGTGGTGTTGCCGTCGAAAGGAACCAACCTTCAGAAGGAGATCACCGTGTGCCAATTGATCGCCCGTGATCTGGACTCGAGCACAAACGGTCTGGTCACGTACGAGCTTCTCAGATCGAGCGTGAACTACTCGGACATGTTTCGTATACATCGTACAACCGGCCAGCTGACCATGAGGCTGCCCAGATCATTGAAGAACAATCCTGAGAGGATCACCAAGTACCAGGTCGGTGTTCGAGCGACTGACGAGGCGGTCCAGGCCGAGAGACGTTCCACGGAGACGTATTTGACGGTGATCGTGCCCGGCGAGGAGGGCGAGGATCAACCGATCTGGGAGCATCGTGGACAGATCGAGGGTAGCGTGTACGAAAATGAGCCGATCGGGACGAGTATTTTAAGGGTGACCGCGCGAAGCCGTAGATCGAGCATCGATCTCGAGTATTACGTGACGAACGTGACCGCCGGTAGCGGTGGTCCCCAGGTCGACCGTTTGTTCGACGTCGACACGAAGACAGGTGTATTGTCGACGGCCGCTGCATTGGACAGGGAAACGGGGATCCAGTGGTACGAGGTGGAGCTGTACGCGGTCGGTGTCGGCGGTACCAGGCCCAGTACGACGTCCACAAAAGTAAGTCCAAACTACCGAAAGTTTCTTTTTGATTGATCATCCCCGGCGATATTAATGATCGCACGGTTTCGTTCTGAACAGTCATTCGCCGGTTTTTGTGTCCTGGCCCGCGGAGGATTCGTCTTTTCTCCGTTCCCCCGGGCGTTCGTTTCTTCTTTTTCGCGGATAGAAATACGGTGAAGGGAGGGGGCGCGCTCGATGGAACAGCCTTTGTCTGGTCGTGCGATTTCTTTTAAAAATTCAATTAAAAAAAAGAAAGTAACGCGTGTTTTGTTATGATACTTACGGAATTCGTCTTGAAATCCTCTAACAGATAGGCGTAAAAAAATTATAGGTGTATTTGCAAAAAATTGAGGGTGACCTTGAAAAATCAAGAGAAAAAAAAGTTGACAAAAAATTTCTTATAATCACGTTAAAATTCTCTTGAAACCATGCTATACCTGATAAAAACATTTTCCATCGGACTGCTAATAACAGAGTAATCTCTACTGATCACGATTCATGGTTCACCCTGTATACATCCACCCCCGTGCACTGGAGTCTCTTCTTGTCCGGTAGCTTTCGCAAAGGATCCACCGCGAGCTAAAGTCGCAATCGAAACCGATCGGGCCCGATGGCTCGTTTGTCACACGAGCGTGGTACCATGCGTCGTCCGCGAATGGATTTATTAATCCGCCGTTGGATCTTCCCGTCGCTCGGGCTCCAAGCTTCTCGTCTTACGGGCGTAACGCGGGAACTCGTCTCGTTCGGAATCGCGTTGCGTAACAATGGTCTTAACGTAATTAGAGTCGACGATAAACAGAGAGAGACAGCGAGTTGGGTTCGTGGATCTGAGAACTGGGATGAGTATAATCGCGTACCAACGATCACAGCGCGGATGGGAGAACGCAGCGCAACGATCTCGTTGCGTGAAATAGATCGAAAGCACTCTGGTGTTTTCTTACTCGCCCTGTAGTCGTCGTTGATACCGGACGGAATCAATATCGTTTTACCAATGGATTCTGGAGGATCGCTTTAAACTACGTGGCCGACGATAATACGACTCTCTCTGTCTCGTCGACAACTGGCCCGTTAAGACCGGGGAGGGAACGAACAAAGAGAGGCGGAACACGATAGGAGGAAAGAGCAAGGTGGTCGGCGTCGCGGGACCACTTTCCTCGGAACGGTCCATTAAGATATCTCCGAGGCATCGGGAATCGGGCCCCCTCCCCCGCCTCTTCCGATAGGGCATTTCTCACTGAAAATTAGCCGCGTGGCCCCGGCCTTCCTCCCCGGAACACCGTGTATAATCGCTGGTGTACGACCCAAGTGGGGTGCAGGGATTAGAGTTAGTTCTTCGTTTTTGGGGAGGCACGTGTTGGCGACCCTGCTGCAGTCCTAGCTAGTAGAGATGGTGTGCAAAATCATCACTAACAGCGATTTATCACAGCGATCGCGGAATCATGATCACCGTCGTGATTTAACTTCATTCACGACCGTGATCGTGATTAATTTAATTTAATTTTGAATTAAAGTTACGCTTGTAATTTCTACTCGTAGCGCCCCATTAGCCCGGCTTTACACGTGCATTCAGACGCCGACGAATGAACGGAACACTCTGGCTCCCACCACTGCCTGTATAAAATTTAGATTGGGGCCTCGAGGTAGAAGTTACATTCACACTCCAGTACTTTTGCATACACGCCGCCGACATATAACACGCAATCACGTCGACGCAAGAACGTTCGTGTAAAGTCAGCTAATTGTTTGACTACATAAGACCGCGCGCTCTAAGCTCCGTTCTACGAGAGAAAGGACTCTAGCCTGCGGACAAGATTTCGTAGGCTTTGCGCAGTTGACTCCTACGTTTATTGATCATTGTCTCAGTTTCCATTGCTCGCATCCCTACCCACATACCCCCTGCAAGGGCCTCGAAGGTCCCACTATTAAACGGCCCATAAATGATACGTTTTGTCAAACGACTGTTCGTACAACATACGTCGTTCCGACCGTCTGAAGGACAGTTCCAACCGTCTAAGCGATGAAACTCGGCTTCCGCCAGGGGAAAAAGCAGCGTAAGGGCCTCCTAACACTTGGTTAATTTATTTCAAGTACTCAAGTGAATGTTAATTTGGCATAAATTCCAGTAACTCCCGAGACCAAGTGGTAGGAAGTCTACGTCGCTTGTTCCCCTAACGGAAGTCGAATTTCCTCGTAAGGGTACGAGCAGTCGTATGACAAATCGTATCGTCGATGGAAGTCTCTAGCAATAGGGTTCCTCTGGGAGCAAGGTGGATCGTTGTTTGGCACTTGGCCAGACTATCCACCAGTCGTTGTGGAAAACACAGTTGAGACAGTGGGGACAAGCTGCGCGGAAGAGGTTGGTGGAACGGAGTTTAGACATTATACGAAAACATGTCGATGACACGAAAGCTCTATCCCCGTCAGCCACCCCCTCGTCGCTCGACTCAACGATATGTACCGAGAAACTATCCAATACGCACAGTGGGGAGGGATGATCGGGTAAAAGTGAAAGGGAGAATGAGACGAAGAAAAAAGGTGGGTAGGGGAAGCTAGAAAGAGAGAGTCAGGGTAGGAGCCATAGGGGGAGAAAGAATAAACGACAAGATGAACCGCGTGCCAAGAAATCAAGTTGGATTCGAGCCGGAGCTGCCGCGCGCCGCTGGCCGCGCTGCCGGAGGTTCAGAACTCGAGAAAAACTTGATCTCGGGATGAACGCATACAAACAGCCGGACGTAGGTAAAAGTCGGTCCATCTCTCTACCCCCGTTGCGACCGGTGTGCGCTTCATTTCTGCGCATTCTCTGTCCCTGCCGTTCGTTCCTCCTTCCCCCCCCCCCCCCCGCCCCCGTTGATTCCCGCTCCATCGTATCCCCTACCTATCCACCTCATACTTTCGTTCTCGTCTCCGTATCGTTCAGTTTCTTCCCCGTCTTGGTTCCCCTGGTCCTCTCCGTCGTTCCAGGCTGCGGGCCCCCGAACCTTTATCGTTTCGCTGTTGGGATCTGTGACTCTGTTCGGGAACCGACTGTGCGCACTCCGGAACGTTTTTGTCCCCGCGGGCCCCCAACTTTTCTTTCTCTCTCTCTCTCTCTCTCTCTGTCTCTGTGTGTGTCTCTCCTTGGCAATCGATCTGTCCTTTCCTTCGTTCGGTCCACGTACGGCTCTCTATGTCTCTCTCTCTTTCTCTCTTAGCGCGTATAGGTACCGTGTCTTTTTCGATGGGGCTCGGCCATCGACTTCGTATCATCGGGTTTTTACCAGGCCACGGGGGGATGAAAGTCAGAAGGGGGATATATATTCGTACCGATGTCGTCTTGGATCGCCCGGCATTTTTGGTTAAACCTAACCTCACCACCGCCGGCACGGCCATCCCGTCCCCCATCAATTAGAACATTCCGCCGACCCCCCACGCCCGCGTAATTGTATTGCAATTTGCATCGTGTGCGTGCTCGCGACGAGCCATCCACCATAGACATATAATATCTAGACCACGAGGTCTTAATGTCTCCCGTAATCAGTGTGAAAAGTTAGAAAGAGATAGCTGCTGTACAGTCATCCATCTGTTCTTTTTTTATAAGTACGTTTTCACGTAAAGGTGAAGGTAGATTTACACTAGAAAACATTGAAATATGCGTATTAAGTTGACGGAACGTTTCGACCTTAAATCGTGACTTTTACGGTCATGACACTAAATGTTGTGACTTTTACCGTCGTGGAAACTAGACGTCGCGTTGTCGTGACATCGTTTCACATTGTCATACAAAGTGTCACGGCAACAAAAGTTATAATTTTTACTGTCACGTGAAAAGGTACCGTAATTACTCGTGGTAGTACGGTGAAGGAGTCTTCGTTGCCTGGGAAATAGAGAGACGAAGGAAGAATGGTAATCCAGAACATGATATTTTTTCTAATATTTGACGGCCTTTCGGCCAAATGCGCAGTCTATGCAGTTCTTATTCGTCTATGGTTTCCACGTGAATTTTCGATACATTTCTCGATATATGTATGTATACTGACGTCTCGTCGAACGAGATCGTGGGATCGTTTTAATATCGCGTGCGAGATTCCCTCGCCGAACGAGATGCCTAACCTCGAGGATGTCGGTCTCGTCTTTGGATATTGACGAAATCGTGGGATCTTTTAATACCTATGGAGTTGTTTACCCTAGAAGGCAATTGTATATTCGTGAAATAGTGTTCAATACAAACCAAGAGTCCACATGATTATCGTAGGAAAGCAGTTGTGTACACCAAAGAGCAAACTCGGCTTCTGCTACTGAAAAAAGACGTAGGCAAAAGACCTACCATTTGAATTCGGAAGTTTCTGAAATTTATGCCAAATTACCATGCATTTTAACACTTATTTCAGTATTTGAAATAAATTGACCAAGTGCTAGGAGGACCTTATCCTACGTCATTTTTTCTCCTAGTGGAAGCCGAGTTTGCTCGAGGGTGTACCAGTGGTGTACATGCGTCCTCTCGTCAAGTAACCTGAAGGTGAGACTGTCTTTCGGTCCCCTTCCTCCGTCCGTCAATTAGAAGACCGTTCTTCAACCGGTGCACTATTGTATTTACATCGTTTTCAAGGGAACGTTAACAGAAACGTCCACTAACTTCCCCACTACGCGTTCACCTGTGTGGTGTTGTTTCAGCTTTTCTGTTCTCTCGTGATCGTTTCCGTCCGCCGCCGTTGACGGATTCCATTAGTGAACACCGTTCGACAACGCGTTTCGAAGAAACGAAAGAGAAAAAGGAATACATATTAGGCGTTCCGGTTTCGATCTTTCGGGCTTTCAACCCCTCCAACCCACTTTATTCAATTCCCTTCGTTAGCCCGCGCGACTTCGACGCGCGCGTTTAATTACCGATATTAAACTGCCGTTCGCAACTTGTATTCGTAATACGGTGTTATTAACGCGACGCTGCGATAATTACGGTCGCGCGGCGTCCGTTACGGGACGGTTAATGGCACGAGAACAATTAATGGTAAATAATACGC